AAAACACAATTTAGATTCAACACTTGCCTGTTCAATTGTAACTAGTATTCCTTGATATAATAGTGCCTGGCTCATTTGAGCTCATTGAAGTGAGAGAGGAATAGGCGCCAAATGCTCTACCAATAGTGAGTCAATGGCATTAAAAATGGTATTATGAGTAGAAGGCAAGCCAGACGATGGATTTGATCCATAATAGTCCCTTATATGATTATAACTGGCTTCTTTTTCCAGTTCTTGATCAATCACTTTAACTAGTTCTTTCAACAAAGTACCTCGATCAACGTGTTTTTTGAGAACACTATTTATCGATTCTACTTTTTGTATTGATTTAGTACCAGCTATAAACAATTTTAAAATGGCATACTTTGCCCAGGACTCACGACATGGATAAAGTTTTGTTTCAAGGTAGAAGCGACAGGGTTCATATTTTTCAAGCATATGATTGTATTTTAATTCAAATTGTTCTTGAGTGAAACTATTTCTCATACGATAAAAATCGTTGACAAAATTTTTAACTGCATTACCATGTAACTTTGATTTGGCTTTTTTTTTTATGTTTTCGCCAATGTGATAGATACACAATAAATGTTGAGTTTGTGGATATACAACTTGAACGGCCGTGATCATTGCTGGATCTCCATCGCTAAACAAGACCACAGGGAACAGGTTATTGGTTGTTTCTAATGTACAACACAAAATCCAATCATAATCGGCTTGCATTTCATACTTCATTAATGCTTGAGCGAGAATTCGTAATTTAAAGTTATTATCAACTCCAATAAACAAGCTAAGAGCCATTTCATACCGGTTTGTCTTTGCTATATTATCATGGATAATAACGTCATGAAACTGAGGCCAGAGCTGATTCCTTTGTTGACTACTCATCCAAAATAAACTGGTTAATTCATTTGATTCACCTTTCAAACGTGGTATAACCACATATTCAGGATCTTGTTCTTTCAGATTAAGAAGATATTGTAACATCGTAGCAGTATCAGATTTATCGTGAATCCTCACACCTCAAAATTTACCAATAGCATTATATAGGTTCTTTTTTTTGATTTGATGTTGAGGAAATTCTTCTGCAAGTAAATCATATTGTTGACCAGCGCCAAGCCGGCCAACAATGGTATAACTCTTTATTTTATCTAAAATTTCTTGGGGAAACTGCAAATATTTTGGAGCTGGTTCAATAGTATCTGAATCGCAAAGATGATTTTGTTCATTCACTATGCTAGTAATGGTTATACGAGTTGCACGTTTCCCAAAATAAAAATGAACTATCTATGGGCAATCGGTTTTACCAGAAACACCATCATGATGTGGACAAATGTCTTCTACTTTTTTTGGTTTATTCACACTAGACTTCCAACAAATATAATCACGACGTCAAATAATAGACTTATTAACAGGATCAAGATCTTTGCGATACTTGATAGCCACAAAACCATGTTGTTTTGAGTATGCATCAACTGCATGTTGTACTTCATTCCAATTATTGAAAAAATCTCTTTCATGTAGTGTTAATTTATTCATTTTGTGTTGAATTATTTGATTGTTATTAACATTCACATTATTGTCAAACCCAGAACTTTCAGGGTTAGTCAAATTATTAGTTAACCCAATTCTCTCAGAATTCGTAGAACCAGACAACTCTAAATTCATAGAACCAGACAACTCCAAATTGTAGAACCAGGCAACTCCAAATTCGTAGAACCAGGCAACTCCAAATTCGTAGAACCAGGCAACTTCAAATTCGTAGAACCAGGCAACTCCAAATTCGTAGAACCAGGCAACTCCAAATTCGTAAGACCAGACGACTCTAGATTCGTAGCACTAGGTGCTTCCAAATTCATAGAACTAGATGATTTTAAATTCATAAAACCAGACGACCTATAGTTCACAGAACCAGACGACCTATAGTTTATAGAACCAGACAACCCATAGTTCACAGAACCAGATGACCCATAGTTCACAGAACCAGACAACCCAAAGTTCAAAGAACCAGACAATTCATAATTCAAAGAACCAGACAATTCATAGTTTGCAAGATTGGACAAGTCATAATTCAAAAGACCAGACAATTCATAGTTTGCAAGATTGGACAAGTTATAGTTCGCAAGATCAAACAACTCTAAGCTATTAACACCAGGAATAGTTTCAAATACTTCATTATTTATAAAACCAAGAAGGTTTTTACCAAACCCGGTAGGCATTACTTGTTTTCCTTTATCCATCTATAACTACGTTGAAGATATAAAGAAAGAGATTCTACTTAGTACCTTTCCACAATAAAATAATAACTTAAGGCAAGCTATAATATAGCACCTTGGGTTCTTTTTTTTTTGAAATTCATAATGCTTAATAACTAACAAAAATTTATAGCTTACAATGAAAGTGTCGAGAGGCGAAAGATCTAACGAGAGATAGTGATTGGTTGGTTGGTTGCTGCAACCCAAAAGATTCGTTTAATGTAAGTAAAATATTTGCTCTTTTCTTGAAAGTAATTACAAAATCACAGCCTACCCGCAATATAATGAGAGACAAAAGTTGAAATAGTGTAGTTGCGAAGTTAAAAGACTACTAGATTTTAGATTCGTTTAATGTAAGTGAAATATTTGCTCTTTTCTTAAAAGTAATTACAAAATCACAGCCTACCCGCAATGTAATGAGAGACAAAAGTTGAATAGTGTAGTTGCGAAGTTAATAGAATACTCACATACTATAAGGTCACTATTACATAATTTACATAATACTGGTGACGATCACCAGTATTACATAATTTATACGTATAATATGATACAATACTTGTGCCGATCACTATATTACATAATACTGGTGACGATCACCAGCGGCAATAAATAGTAAAATTGTTAAAGATATTTATTTACAAATTGTATTATTATTTATTTATTTAAAACTAATTATAATACATATTAGAAGCTTTATCTATTGGTTCTGTTAAAGTTTTAGCTAATATTTACTATATTAAATAAGGTTGGATCAGTTTTGAAAAAACTAAGTAAGAACCAGTCTTTTTAATCATCAATATACATTTACTGATTTCCTTTTTAATAGTTATTTTTCTTTTAACAAATTACAAATATGACAAATATGCACTTATACAAGAATAATAAAACAAAATTATTTTTTTTATAAATTTATTATAAATATAATTATATAAGTAATATATAGCAATTTATAAAATTTAAATTCTGTATTATTTTAAATATAATTTCTAAGTAAAAACCTAATAACTAGGGCTCTAGTCTACAAAACCTTACCATTTTTTTAGTTTTATAAATGTTGCTAAAAAAAATTAAACTTAGATAATCAATTACAAATTCATATTATAAACTTAGACATGTTTGAATATTTGAGTCTAACTATGTCTGAGTCTGAAATATATCACTCAAATATTGTCCAAGTGACAATATACTTACTAGAACATAATTCAGACTCAAACATTGAACAATAATTAAAAATGTCTGGTCCACTATATATAGCTTGAACATCAAAAATAGACAACACTGATCACACCAACATAACTGACAGGTCATAGAGCATCTGCACAATGTTAAAGTTATATAGAGAAATACAAACCAGCATCAGATAATGCAAACTTAAGATAAGTCTTTGTGAACATGTAAATTTATAAACTAAAAAGCTAGAGCTTATTTGAGAAAACCTAAATAAAAAGATAGTACAGATCTTCAACTGTATTACTGTAAAGGCTAGACCTAGAAAACAGATACTAATATGGAAAAAATTGGGCAAGCAAAAATCTCAAATGAGGAGTATCATCAACCAGGCTACTGAAAGTTTCGAACTAGAGAAAAAGAACCTTAGAAGCAGATCCTGGAGTACTAAGAACAGGTTATAGTTCTTTCAGACTATCTGAATTATAAGTTTGAAGTTAGAAGCAGAGGTATACTATAAGTACTAAGAATATGCTATGAAGTTGATGCTAGAGTTTGAGTAAATTTTGCAAGAGTAAGCCCTGTTAACAAGAGACTAAATGTGAGTAGTTAGTTAGCAAAGAGGCTTCTTGAAGCTTTATAGTTAGGTGACATATACTGAAATATGTAATGGCTTAACAACATACAGACAGAAAGGTTAAGATTAGGTTAAATAGCACTTTAGTATACAGGAACTTGTGTGCTATTTGTCAGTATAAGTATAGGGATTAGAGTGTTTAAATAAGTAATCTTCTAATAAATTGCAGATATGGCAGCTAGTATAGAATCTGCTATGTGAGTGGATTACTTAAAATAGACAACAAAAAGTTGTATATGTGGCTAGTTGTAGACTTATCTTGTACAAGTTATGTACCAATAATTAAAATACAATAAAGACAATAGTTACCAATAATTATAGCCTTAGTAAAAGCAAAAAAAAAAAAAAAGTAGTAGATTATTTGAGATAAAAGGCAAATAGTTCAATTAAGTAAAGAGCTGATTTGGTTACATTAATAACAAAAGGAAGAAAAGATAAAGTTTCATTTGTAAAAAATATAAGAAACAGTAAGTTCATCTGTGAGAATTTTAATCTAGAAGGTTTTCTGAATAAATAAATGAAAATTATAGACAAAATTAGAAATTTTTTGATTATTGTTAATATAAAGCCATGTAGCTTTCTAGTTAATTTAGATGTAATAATAAACTATTATTAAAAACAATGTTAAGATGTCCAGAATGTTATAATATGAGCTTGGCATATAGTTTGAATAGAATATCAAATATGAATTTTAATAGAAAATTGATTAATAAAAGAAGTATAGTTAAGGTTATAAGAATTATTAGTTAAGAATGTTAAGTAAGATAATATTTGATAATTATAATTAAGTTGGTTAACAAGATTGTTAAATAAATTATCTAGATATATAGTAACTTTGTAAAAAGTAAGCTAGGAATTATAAGATTTAATAAAATTAATAAGAGTTTGCCAAATAAAAAAATATAAAATATGAGTATAAAAAAGAGTAAATGCTAATTAGCAAATATTATAATACTGTTACAGGGTTGTAGCCTTCTTGGTACAATACAACCAAGTAACAAGATTACTCAGTACAGTGATTGATTATTGCAAATATATACAAAATGGAGGTGTAGTAGTTCACTTTACTACATAGTAGCAGGCAAACAGTTTGAGATAGTAATAGTATATAGATTAACTTTTATTAAATAAACACACAGTAACAATCTTGTCTGTAGGAATTACCCTAGAGGGGGGATATCACTTTTACAAGTTAGAAGTAAAGGTAAAAAGGTCTAGATTGAAGTATAGGAACTTACAAATGACAGAGAAGAGTAAAAGCTACTCTTTTTATATCTTTTTATCTAGCGAGAATAGTAGGGATTTGAGCAACATTACTTGATATTGTACTCAGGATAATGGGGATTTGACCAATATTAGATATCATTATAGTTAAAATAGTGGAGGTTCGAACAACATTAAATAATACTGTACTTGAAATAGTAGGGACTGTGTGAAAGCAACTGAAGATATTGTTTATATTATTTGTCATTCATGCTTGAAACATTTGGGACTTGTGTTTAGGCACTTGGATTTGTGCAAAGGCACTTGGAATTTGCGCAAAAATACTTGGAGTTCATATAAGGACACTTGGAGTTTATGTCAGAAATACTTAGGATTCTTGTGCTATGGCACTTGGCACAGTAATTTGGTGCTAGAATACATGAAACTTGTATAGAGGTACTTGGAGTTTGTAAGATGATAGTAACATCACAGATGTTACTCAGTGTCATGTGACTGTATCACATTTCTAATAGCCAATTAAGACCCTTTTATCTATTCTACTATATAATATAACTATCAACTAACTAATGACTAATAATAAATATAATATAAAATACAATAATGAATATATATAATTCCTAATATTACTATATAATATATTATGCTAAAAACTACTTTGTAACATTTTCTTCCCCTTAAGAATTTTGTTTTACAAAATTTTTATGACTTTTGTACTATTCACAAAAGTCAACTAATTGATTAAACTTGGCTTTGCTCATATCATCAATATGTTTTAAAGTCAGTTTCTTTGTTCGATATATATGTTCATAGCCAATGGCTTTGAACAATTGATAAGTTTTAGTCCAGGCCTTAATTTTACTTGCTTTTATGAACTTGTCATAATCTGGATTTTCTAATAATAGGGCTTCTAGATAATAGTCATAAGCTAAGCAATATATCTGGTTATAGTTAAATGAGCATATAATCAACTAGTATTCCTTAGTATTTTGGTATAACAATTTTTCTATAATATATTAATAGTCATTGGTACAGTAATTGGAAAAATCTGATTTAGTGTTGTATTTAGTAGATATATTTTTATTTTGGTCAACAGATTATTATTATAGGTTGTTGGTAATATATATAAGGTTTCTATATTAAGAATAAAAGTAGTACTATTAGCTTCACATATAATAGTATCTGAGTGTTGAACCTGTTTACAGAGGTCTTGTAACTCAAGGGCTTTGTAGTAAATTTGTGGGATAATCTATATTGGTAGGTTCTGTAATAGGTTCTTTGTTGTTAAGATTATTAGAGGTTTAATTCAAAGTATAGAGAAAATTAATGTTAATAGAAGACATTTCTTTGGGCTTTTTATATCTTGTTAAAATTCTCTTCACACTTCTATGCCAAGCAATCTTTGGCACAGTAATTTGTAATTTGTTTAACCTATGCTGTCTCTTATGAATTTTGTTTAACCCATGCTATTTTATATTTAATAGTAGCTACATTTGTTTAACACATGCTTTTCTTTGTATTCTATTTATGACTATATTGTTTACAATACATGTTAAACAATTCTTTGTTCTAAAATTTGTGCAAAATTTGTATTGCCACATGTCTATTCTATTTTGTTTTTGTAAGTATAGTTTTCTTTGTATCTTTCTCCTCTTAAAAAGTGAGGTCTCTGAACTTTATTTACTAATTTGTCTAAAATTAGTAACTTTATTCTGATTGGTTTATCTATTTCTAAATATAGCAATCACATTGTTTCTGTTGTGATTGTTCTTTGTCTATCAATAAAATTTTAATTTTCTGTTATATTTGTTTTTGTTATTTATTTCATCTAATTTTTCCTGTATTTTGGTCTACAAAACTTCTTATCTTCTTTTCTTTTTCTACTAGTTTTCTTGTTAAAAAATCTTTCTTGTTGATAAACTTATCTTTTTATCTGTTGTTTTTCACTAAGGTGTATATA